GTTAGACAATAACTTCTGATATCTCTAAGCAACAAAAATTATGATTTTTATATACAATTATAATTTATGATCTAAAATCGATATATAAAACAATAGCAGTGAACTAAAATAAAACTTGGCAACAAAGTAAAAAATTAATGAGAGTGCAAACATATCTGATTGCTTTGTACTCTGCAGTATTCTAAATGAATTATATTAACAATTCTAGAGTGTACATGAAAGAAATGGGCAAATGTATCAAAAAACAATGGATGGCCATATTATATATAGGCATCTATTTTCCTGTGCTTACAACAGTTTTTAATTTATGTGAATTTTAACTTTTACAGGAATGCAGTTGTTTTAACATTAAAATCGATGAAACTAATTTGAGTTAATTTTATTTCATTATTTTAATTTCTAATTTATTATCATCTGAAAAATAGTATTTACAATTTATTATTTTTAGCACATGATATGTAATAAATATCCATATTTACATTTTAATAATTTTAATGTCTTTTTAACTTATTATTAAAGATTTTACTGTTTAGAGTCATGATTAGTTTAGCTGCATTTTCTATTTGTGCAATATTGTTTTAAATACTGTTGATGTTTTAATGATTGAATATATTAAATCATTTGTTTGCATATTTAAAATTTAAAATATTTTTGCATGCACTGTTTTATGTCCTTTATATTATACTCACTGATTAAAGTTTTGCACTCAGAATTGTCTAATTACTGTAAAACTCAACATATAGCTCAGACAGGTATGTAAATGATTACCAGTTGTGGTCTAATGGCACACCAGATAATGCTATTAGTATGTTTTAAAATCACCCACCAACCTATAAAAAGGCTCATACATGCTCACTGTAATAAAAAGATTAACTGCTTAGAAACTTGAAACCTCTTTAAGCTTAAAATGATTAGATCACCATGCCAAGATAATATCCATTAAAATACTAAAAACTACTGTCTATTGGCATTAAAACACTTTTTATTAACACAAGCACTTTCAACATTTTTATCAATGTCATTTTCAGGTAAAGAACAGTTTTAGAACAATTCAGTTTTGAAAAAAGGAACATTACATATTTAAAATGGAAAATGTTTTTTGGAATATAACATTAAATAAACTTAAACTAACATAAGTACAATAATAACATGCACATAGAGACAAATTAGTATGGAAAAATAATACTAATAAAAATAAAATAAACAAATACCATATTTACTCATATATAAGATGATCTTGCATATAGGATGAGGTGTGACTTTAAAGATCAAAATAAAGAAAATTAGATTTATTAATACAATTCTAATTTTATTTTGTTTAATCACAAATAAAATATCAAATGCATGTAAATGCACACATTGTCCTTCAAAAATTACTAGCATTTTAAATTTTAAGGAAAAGTCTTGTAAAATCAACAACATAATTTATTCATGTAAAGCTGGACAATCAGGAACGTATTTTTGTCAATTCTTAACAGTTGAATCCACTCTCCATCGATTACACTTAAGAGTTTCTCTGAATAACCATCTGTTTTCATGTGGGAATGGATTAAAACTTATATTGGATTTTCGTGTGATTTTGGAATTTCAATTTGGAATTCAATTCAAAAGCTTTGCTTTTCCTATTGCTATTCATTGTTACTCTTGACATTACTCAAGAATGATTGAAACGACTCAGATAAAATACTTTTGTTTTTAAACACGAGGGTGAGCATCTGGTAAAAAATGCGAATACACGGTTCACAAAAATTATTGCAAAAATGCAAAGAATACTTTGCTCTACAATACAGACAATAGTAAACTAAACTTATCCGCCTAAACTCTCCGTAGCGTGTAAGTAGTTTGGCTGCTCGTCCACTATTGGTCCAGATTTGACCAATCCTGTCGTAACACAAGTTGGCAATGATGTTTTACCACATTTTACGAGTCTCTTTTAGTGTCTTTATGCGAATACAGTCGCAATTTTTTCGCCACGATATATGAATCCGCATTATATGAATCCGTGTTATAGGGGGGTCTACTGTATTTACCTAAAAGCAAAAGCCAAAAGCAATTAAACAGATAAATAACTACAAAATTGTAGTCTTGAAATTGATTGAAAATAATTGTAGGCTTTGAGATTTTTTCCAATTTTTCATTGAAACTTGTGAATATATAAATGATAATTTATTAAATATTTGACCATTCTATCTTAGACCATATAATAGGTTTTTTTCTCTATATACATTGTTAAAAATGATATAGGCAGTCATTTAAATTACAGATTTTAAGTTTTTTAAATCTTTATTCAATTATTTATTGATGTTACCTCACATTGTAAGTGGAAATAAAAACTAACCCAACTTTTCAGCATTTTTTCAAGAAAATATGTTCACTGCTATTATAATTCTATTCATGAGTTAGATTTGTATTCCTCCTTATATCTGAGTACCTTAAGTCTTGATGTCATTGTTAAACCTGCCTATATTTTAGAAGACATGAATTAAGTGCAAATTTTTAAATAAACTATAGTTTATAACATTTAATTTATATTTCACTTCTAAAACTTAGACTTTTATAAAATTTAAAAAATAAAAAGGTAAAAATGTTAATAATATAATCTGTAAGATTATCAATTTTGTTTTATTTTGTGTTTTAAATTGTTTTTAGATTTTAATTATTTTAAATGCTAATATAAATGTAAAAGATATTTTATAAAAACATTTTTATTAATTTGAATTTCTTTACAAAAAATATTTTTATATGTAAATATAAATCAGTATATTAATTAAGTATCAGTGAAGACAAAATAACTGTTCAGTGTATCTTCAAAGTCTATTGTTTACAAGTCTCAAGCACAGAAAACTTTTCACTACTGCATGTTAAAACAGGAAAAAGTAGATTTTGCTTGTTGTAACATGCAAAATGGTTTTGCCATATTTGGTGAAGGATGATGCAAGTGGTTTAATGAAACAAATGTTTTCAGTGTGAACAAGTAGCTGCATCATTGAAACAATATCTGCTTTTTTTCTAGTGAAAGCATAGCATAAATAAAGTGTCTTTGCCTACTATCTAGAGATATGTAGATTCTGTAAGCCTTGCTGTAGAATCTTGCCTTTTCCTGCTCTTTTTAACGCTTAATCATTATACCATGCCATTAGCAAGTATCACCAATTCTTTGGCCTCAAATCAAAATTCAAAATTAGTCAAATGTCATAAATTGAGAACTGTCAGCATTTTATAATTTTGCATTTCATTGTATTGTTTTAAAATGAATTGTTTAATTTCTTATCTAGATTTGGAAATACTGTATTTTTCCCTAAGATTTTAGATATCCTTACAAATTTTATCATTTCATTACCAATCAGCAATGAAATGATGTAATTTATAAGAGAGCATGATAGCAAATAAATGATGATGCAACTAAACTTGTGAAAAATGTATGATAATCTGTTTTTTGCAAATGAAAAATTCTCCACAGGTTATACATTGCTACAGATTGTGGTAATAAACTTTTTTTAGTGAACAAAAAATTACACTTGCAGATTATATATATGTATAGTACATATATATATATAATCTGCATAGGCAGGAAATTGTGATATGTTCAAATTCATTTCAATGAGTTATGTTCTGTAAATTTATTCTTGAAGAAGCTTGGAAAAGATCAAGCAAAAATGTTTCTAAACTGTACTTTTTCCAGTAACATAGTGATTATTTTTAATTGATAAATTGTTCATAACTTGATGTTTGTCTAATTTTACTGTAAAATTTAAATTAAAAATTAATGCTTTTATTTTGGATTATATTATATTATAGATCTTTAAAGGTGTTTCTTAAGATTTAATGATACACGGTGAAAGTCCTGTAATCTGGTATGGGATCAAAGTGGTGATGAATTATCAAAATTGTCAGATTACCAGATCTGTGTTGAAAGACTTGTGTAAATCACAAAATTATTTTTGATTTCTTTCTATGAAATTTTCTATGATAAATATTATCAAATACAAAATAGCATGCTTATTTTTACTATTTACTTTTTCATAGTTACTCTTCTATCTCTCTTGTCTTTTGAACAATTAGACATACTGTCAATATTTGTTTTCCGTGCTGTTCTGCAAACATATCTTGGATGTCTGCCTGCTTGTAGCACTATTCTATTTTTGCATAAAGGTTAGATGCATTGTACTGAGGACTTCTCTCTGCAAATTTTTCAATATTTTGTTACCTGATGACAATAGTATTTTTTTGTTTCTTGATATCATTGTTAACACTTTAATGATGACTACATCACTAAAATTCCAACTGCATATGCATCTATCATTTTTATTGCAGTTAGCCCTGCCTGAATTTCATCTTGTGATAGGCTTGTAACTGGATTGCCTTTAAGGAAAGTACTGAAAATCATTTGTATGATGCTGCTACTTCTTTCTCTGATAACAGAGCCAAGAGAATCTTTATCAGACATATTTCAGAAGACACTTAGACTTCTGTAGAACAGAACTGTTGATATGGTACCAAAATAAGGCAAAAGCATAAACTTCATCTATAATATTATATACAGATAACACTGCATTTTAAATTCATTAGCTTTTGAACAAAAGTTCCTTGGTAGATTGTCTTCAAATTTTGAATTGCTTTGTGATTCATAGACTTGATTAATTAATGATGTAACATTTCCAGAGAGATATTGTATGTGATAAGTATGTTTTTGATAATAAGCTCGCATGTGGGTGCTAACTTGGACTAAGGTAAATTTAATAGTTCAAACCCCATAAGACTGGAATAAAGTATTTCAGAAAAAATGTCAACCAATGAACCTTATAAATGAAATTCCAGTATAATTTATACTGGAATTTTATTTATAAGATTCATCAGTTGGCATTTTTTTTCTGTGAATTTAATGTCTACCTGAGATCTAAAGTATTGGTACAAAACAAATGATTATAGATGGTACTAAAGAAATTATAATAATAAGCATATAATTCACTGATGATTTAATGTTTTCTATAGTTTATTTATATAAGTATTTTTTATTTCTCATTTAGCAAACCAGGGAGACCGAGAATACCATTGGAAAAAACATATGCAGTAAGTACATATTTGAAATTATGATTGCATTCATAACTTATGATTAACTTATTGACTTACCTTTGAATTTATATTGGATTAAATATTTCACAGTTATCTAGACTTGTGCTTCTCAAACCAAGGGACCATGAACATTTAAATACAGGTATATATTAAATATCCCTTGTACAACATGGTTTCACTCTAATATGGTTTTGGAAATCCTCCATACAAAATTTCACAAGTTTTAAGTGTAAACTTCGTTATTTGATATATATATTTGATTCTGATGAAACCGTGTTGTTGTTATTATGCTGTTTCTTTGCAGACACACTAAGGTGACATATTTCAACACTTGGCAAATTATTCACTATTTATTCAGTTGGTGATATATATATATATTTTTTTTATTCAAGTAAGCACGTGCCGTCTTAAATTTGCCCATGGATTATAGAATATTGAAATTTTCAATTTGTTCTGTGCCTTTTGTCAGGTTTACTTTAATGAAAACTGATAGAATTTTTTTTCTTCCTTGCCCTAGCTTTCTATCAACTAGCTTTCAGACTTAGCTGTTAAGATTGTCATCATGTTTTGTTTTTGTAGATTAATCTTTGTATTTAGTAAAATTTATTTAAATGTGTTTAGGTAAGTATTGTGACTGGAGGGTCAGCACCTCTTTAGTGCCTTGTCAGGACTGACACCACTGTGTCTCGTTTGACACGAAAGCCAAGATGGCATGTTGATTCAGATTAGGGTATAGGTCACGAGAGTGGCTTCATATGCAGGTGATCGGATTCTGGATGGAGGACAGAGAGACAATCCAATGGAAGTAAAGTCTTCAGATACGAAAGTTAACAACTAAATAACCATTTATGTTCAATGAAGGGAAACACATGATACAATATACAATAGATATATTAGGTTATATCGACTTAGTTATTCTTATAGTGGTCATGAGAGAGAGAGAGAGAGAGTTCACGCGATACACGTGGGGATAAATACCTTGTAAAGGATCTTGGTTGTGATGTTCTGAGGATAGAGGAGCTAGAACAAAAATATATATATATAAAATAATGAAGTTTACACTTAATGGCTTGCAGCCTCTTGCACAACTGGCTTGCAGCAGATCATGATCTCCTATCAGCTGGTTGGACAGAAAGGAAGAACGTTCTGGAGGACAGTTCTTATTCCAACAGTTCTGAGTTAAAAATAGATACAAAATAAATTCACTATTTATTGCACCGGAATGACAAAAATTTTTAAAAATAGATAATATGGCCGTAGGTGAGGAGGTATCTGAAAATGAGGTATCCTAAGGAGCACAGGGTATCCATAAATTAGAACATGGAAAAATGAGTGGTCTGATTGAGGAACTGGCAACAACTGATTCTTTGGCCATCAATTTTGATAACCAATCGCCTGTGTATGAAGCTGCTTGAGTGACCTACATTCTAATTCGTATCAACACGCTGTCTCAGCTTCCGTGTCAAACGAGACAGGATATCCCTCTGGTCAGTGTTATTAAATGTTTTTTTTTTTTTTTTAACCATAGGTAAGTAATCGTTTGTAAAAATGACAAACGAATTACAGTAGTATCTTGGTACTTGAACTGTTCCCAACTGGAACAATTCAGTATTAGAGCACAAATTCTGGAAAAAAATTACTCGGTACTCAACTGAACAAACATGACCTGCTAGAACAAATTATTAATTAATAACATATGTTTATTTTGTCATCCATAGAAAATTATGATAAAAATAAAAAGATGAAGACATTGCTGATATTTCTGATCAGAAGATCAACAAAAAAGCTCAGATGATGATGATACTTTGAAAAAATAAGCCCTTGTTTAACTAAAATTAACAGTAATTTTAAATGTGCTTGTTAGTTAATTATTGATTGGAAATAAAGTATTGATTGCTTTAATAAACATATTCTCTTAGTAACAAAAAAGAAGAGTATACTTTTGCAAACTTATGAACCTAACCCTATGTTTGCATTTGTTCTTTGTTTCGTATAACACAGATTTGCAAAGCACTGCACTTTTTTGGAATGTATTTAACATGTTATATGAGGGATATCTGTATTTTAAAAATGATTTTCAGTGTTTTGATTTTAATGCATTCAGTTTAAAAAAAAAATTACTGTTAATGAAAATTTATTTCTTATGAATCAAAAGCATTAATTTTCTTTGGCACTAAAAAATTTAAGAAGCAATAATAAATGATTTTGTCCATTCATGGTTATAAAGCATTTCTTGATATTTGGTTGCCAGTAACTAATTAATGCAACTCATTTAGAATATTTTTGTTAACAATGTGTGTATGCTAGTATAAATATGTTATAGTCAGCTAATGAAAATAAAAGTTGTGAGTAGGAAAGTCAATTTGCAAAAATAGAGGAGCAAATTTAAAACTTTTCATATGAATAAAAAGACTGTATAATAAACTAATAATAAATATAAATCTAGAAGCTATGAAATGTTTTAATTAGATTTATGGAGCCTCAACACCAAAAAGTTTGGAAAGCACTAATCTAGAAAGATAATTTCAATTTTAATTTACTGTAGCTATAATTTTAAAGTATTATAAAATGGAAATTAAATAAATTTATATTTTTGTACATGGATTATACAGAATTTTTAAATAATAATTAATGGCTTTTTTCTTGTTTTCAAAGCCATGAAGTTTTACAGTTATGAGTTAATAACAGGATAAATTAGTTTTATTTAATAAAACATTTTAGTTTTATGTAGAGAAGACATGCCATAGTTCTGTCTTTATTTTATTTTTAATTTTACTAATTCAGCAATTATGAAAAAAAAATAGGATAAATTACTTTTATGTAGAGAAGACATGCCATAATTCTCTCTTATTTTAATTTTACTAAGTCATTGATCATAAAAAATATATAATTGTAAATTAGAAAAAATAATCATTTACACTATTGCTTCTCCAAGATTTTATGTGCATAGTAAGTCATGTGATGTTTTCTGATCNTAAAGTATTATAAAATGGAAATTAAATAAATTTATTTTTATTTATTTTTCTTTCTTAGCTATAGAATAGTTATTTTAAAAAAGCCAATTTTTATGGATTTTAGATTATAGAAGTTTAAATATTAGATTCTCAATAACCAAAAAACCAGAAAAAAATTTAAAGAATGCTGACATTTTTTTTGTTGGTTTTTTTTTTGTTATTGAGAGTAGTATTTTTATTTATAACCAGTACTCAGTGGTTGTTGATTATAGAGGTTGTTTTTAAATATACAGTAAATTTGCTTTATGTTGTTAATCTGTTCTAGAGATTCCATAACGTGTTTTGAAAATATTGTATTAATGTTGATTGTAATATGAGTCTAAAAATACATTGATATTAATACAATAAGACCCCACTTAACACTGATTTGATATAATGCGGTCTGCTTGAAGCCTAAAAAAGCTCAAAATTTACGCTGATTTAAATTATCGCGGCATTTCATTGATTCTTATGTAATATGATTATTTGAGAACATGAACCAATCAGCAAAAGATGGCAAAAAGGCGTACTTTCTTTATATCTATGTTTGTTTGGTGCAATTTTGGAAAAAATATGACATCATGGATGCCATAGGCAATATTGACTTTGCTTGACAAGAATTAACTGATAAATGCATGAACAGAGTGTGGAAGAAGTTATGGCTGAAGGTATCCAAGAGTTCTCGATGAGAAGAGCCTATTGCTGTATCGTTAGGTTCACAAAACTCAACCTAATCGATGCAGCAGGACTAGGAGATGTAGATGAGCAGGATATTGAAGAGTTACTGCAGGTTTCTCTGAGAGTCTTAACAATGACAACCTTCAAGAACTGGCAGAAGGAATTCATGTAGAACTGGAAAATAGAGATTCTGAAAATAAAGAACCCAAAAAATTTCTCTACAGATTTCCTTACTAAAAATTTGCTAACAATAATCAAAATTGTCGATAAAATTGTAGCAAATGATCCAGATTTTGAAAAGAGTGCAAAAGCAAAACGAGACATTTTGGATGCGATCTTCTGCTACTGACATTTGCTTAAGGAAAGAAAAAAGTGACAAATGAAAACTTCACGACTTTATTGCAAAAAAAACAAAGAATTTCAGAAAAGTCAGGACCTTCATCACAAAAAATGAACTTACATTTCTGTGTGCATATGTTTATGTATTATTTAACATGTATAATTATGCAAATCAATATAAAAAAAATTAAAGTAAAATTTGTTTATTTTTGGTCATGTGTTCCCCTATCTCTATTTACTCTGTTAAAATGACCTTATGTAATGCTGTTTCATTTGGCGCTTTGTTGTCTAGGAACACATCCCCTGCATTAAGTGGGGTCTTACTGTATTTGATAATCCATTTGAAGATCTCAGAATGTGAAAAGTATGCTACAGAATTCTATTATTTTTCTCCTGTTATCTAAACTTATAAAATTCTTGGTGACTGACAGAGCATGTTGATCCCACTGAACCTATAGTTTGGATTAACTACTAAACAATAAAGCCAAAATTGTATGTATCCTGTATGATGATGACTTTATACTTATACACATGTTACTGAACATAAGATTTCCTAAAACCCGGTTTTTACAACAGAATTATTAGTTTTATACAGTGCAATGAATAAATAAAAGTTATCAAAACATAATTTTAAAAAGTTTAAAAGAAATGGATTAAAAAAAGGGTTCATGTTTTACCTGGAGTAAATTGTTTTTCCTATACCAATTAAAATGATAAATGCAAGTTATTCAAAATGCTTACATTGCATCATTGATTGCCATATTTGTCATATGTGTTTGCTCACATGATCCAAATGACAATAATAATAAATCTCTTATAAAGTAAACATATTTATTTATGAATGTCAAAATATATTTTTAAAATGAATATTTGAAATTTCTTCTACTTTTATTCTGTTTGTTATTTTATGAAAATCAATATATACAGTAGATCCCCCTATAAGACGGTAGATACGTTCCGTTCTTTATGAATCAATTTTGTAGGAAT